TTTCAAGATTTCAAGAATTTATTTTGCACGTAGTCACACAAATGTTTGAAACAAGATATCACAATAATAAGCAGTTTTTATACATACAGATGAGGGGGGGGGGATATTTCACTTTCGTTAATATAGGACTAAGATATACATCTTTCTGTGGCCATAAGATATCTAGATCCGCGTAGTCCACGTTCAACTGCTCAATCATACGTGTAGCCCAGGTTCAGCTGCTCAATCATGCGCGTAGCCTAGGTTCAGCTGCTCAATCATGCGCGGAATAGTACACTTCCTTTAATATAGAGCTAAAACATAAACCGACCATATCGTTCTTAGTTAATGAGAAATACTTTCTTTTTTCCTTATTTAGATCCACGTAGCGCACGTTCAACTGTTCAATCATGTGCAGATAAATGGATCATAGATATACATATTCATTTATGATAAAAATTAGCTGGTTTATGAAGGCGAGGCTGAACTTTAAACTAGATTTTGATATTTAAAAAAGTGATATTAATCCTTTAGACGTGGAATTAGCCTCCATAGGGCATTCTTGTCGAAAGTTGTTAAATAAGCATTAAATAGCATGAAATAAATAGAAGAGTGACTGGTATCTTTAAACACGTAGCTTCTCAGTCTCCTGAGCTTTGCGATATCTCCAGATTTTAGAGCCAAACATTATTTTTTGACAAACTTGTCAAAAAACAAAAACTAAAAACAGGAAGACAAGATTCAATATTTAAAAAAAACTTTCGGCATCTATTTTTTACAGCAAAATAACTTTCAGGTCTTTGGTCTGCAAATTACTCTTGTTTTGTTAATTTCTTTTGAAATTTAATAAAAGCCATTAATAATTAAATTCATCGACTGTTTCAATCTTTTCTTTATCATCATACTATCTTTCATTCGTATGTATAAAACCATCGTGCCTAGCTATATACGGCTTGCTTGTGAGTTGGCCGGTGTAGCCTCGTGTGAAGATCTGACGTTCCCTATAAATAGCAGACCGAACATTTCTATCTCTTAAATGATAATCTTATGTCAATGTTGACATTCATTGTCATCTTAGATACAGAAATTTTCTGTCTATACACATGGCTATTTGTGTTTCTCAGGAAGACTGTATAGGTGTGGTTGTGTCTTTGAGCAAGGAACTTTATTGCTAAAGACAGCATGCAACGTACCTCATGTATGTTGTTCAGCGAGGTTGCCACTAGTTACTACCAGGAGACCTCAATCGAAATGTCCCTAACTGCTCCTGCCCTAAAAATACAACAGTTTCAACAGATTTCTGTTTTTGTTTAAATAACAGTCAAACCTCTAATTTCTACAATATTCATCGAATATTAACATTTTAAGTAAAATAGCAAGCTCATCTGTTAATAATTTGGAGTTCGATCGAAACAAAAGGGAGACAAAACATGCAGAAGTTACATTACAATAATATTCCATCCTTTCAGATCGCTACTTGTACCAGTTATCGCCGATATTAATCACATTTCCGTACGTACTATAAGTTGAGAAACTGTTAGCTGGATATACATCATTAGCTATTATCAAAAAACTTATTCTATTCCATGAAATAAAATGTTACTACAACCTGTGATTAGGCTAAGGGATTACCATGACCCCTGAATAAGTAATCTTATAACGACGGCAAGTTATCTGTAGTTCGAGATTCGTATACTCTAGTGTAATGTATTGACTGAGAATTTGTGAACATGCAAATTTCAAATATAAAATGTATATTTTTTGCCAGGTATATACAATGGGTCGGAACAACGAATTTGCATCCGAAAACGACACCATCAACATTGAAGAACTAATTAAAAAGTACACATGGAAACGTTTTCTGAAAACCAAACCGCTGCTGCGTCGTCCGTTCTACAGAAAAAGCTGTTTCACTATCGATTTCAACTGGGCATACCTAAATTTCAAACACAGAACCACTAAATTTGACATTCGGGAGGAATTTGTCAGCTCTCATGAAGCCAGATTAGCAACCGGAAATGATGACCCGAACCTCGTGCAACGTCAACAAGAAGGCACTGACGAAAAACATAACAAAAAAGTTCTCTACAAATCGAAGTACGTAAATGATACGCCATTCGACCAAATTCATAAAATCAACACGACACGTGAGACGAAAACATCTCTCAGTGTTGATATTCAGAACACTTTCACAAAGGGCCAAACTTGTGAAATCGGTCTGACAACACCCCCGCAATTTCCCGTCACAGTACAGGCGGGGTTTAGTAAAGAAGTGTCGATCAGCAACAGAAACGGAGAGTCATTTGAGGATACCGTGACCTGGGCGATCAACCATGACGTAAAGGTGGCTAAAGGGCATACTATGATCGCGACAATGTCTGTGTCACAAAAGAACAGAGTAGCCGAATTTGAAATTGAAACGACTATATCCATTTCGGATGGTAAAGACATGCCTATATTTGTACGACGTGTATCAGACAATTCGCAAGTTTATGTGGAGATGTTGAATGATCTTAAATTCGTATTTGAAAATGTGGCGGAGAGTAGTAAGTATGTCGCTCTTAAAAAAGAGGAAAAAGACCCAGGCAGAAATTTGCTGAGACAGAGTGTCGTCATTAAGACAAACGGCACGTGCAAAACTTTGTCGTGGAAGAAACATGACATCTACGTACGGAGTGTACCAACTTCAACTTTAAAATCTGAAAGAAACGAGGATAATTCGCCAGAGGTCGGCGACAGCGCGTCGACATTGTCAGATGTCGGAAACAGCGAGTCGACGTCATCTGAGGTTGGAAATATCGAGTCGACGTCGTCAGGGGTCGGAGATATCGAGTCGACGTCATCTGAGGTTGGAAATATTGAGTTGACGTCGTCAGGGGTCGGAGATAGCGAGTCGACGTCATCTGAGGTTGGAAATATTGAGTTGACGTCGTCAGAGGTCGGAGATAGCGAGTCGACGTCATATGAGGTTGGAAATATTGAGTCGACGTCGTCAGGGGTCGGAGATAGCGAGTCGACGTCATCTGAGGTTGGAAATATTGAGTCGACGTTGTCAGCAGTCGGGGATAGTGAGTGTCAAACGTCTGAAGCAATGTGTCATTTGAAGAAACCTGTTGATAATAATGACATTTGATATCACAAGACAGCGAATTCGACGCAGAACACTGTTCAGGGTTCTCGGAAACGAGGATGACGATAGCAGGATGTATTTTCTCACTTGATTTACCCATGGTTATAGATATGACTGAAGACACGAGTCCTTTCTAAAGAGAAAAGAAAAAAGATATTAGATAAAGGAGGCATATTCTTTAGAATTGGGGGAGATGGATCCGGAATCCAGGAACCTCCCCATAGATCCGGCTCCGGATTACATTTGCATTAATGTTTATTAAATTTTGTGCAGACACCTCGGCAGTGTGGGTGTCATGTCCTTCACGACCCCAGGAAGCTGGAACAAGTAACCTAACAATAATAATTAATAGACTGGCTTTGGAATTATGTCTTTTCTGCACTATGTCAATTACTGATAGATATATTTCATTCAATAACAAATAACTGACTCTTTATTATAACGAAAGAGTAAAGAAGGGAGATAATCGGTATCATCCAAACATCATATTTACAGTTTTAATAAATAAATTACATCTTACAGTTGCTGTTGAATTTCTTTTCGAAACATTTCTTGTGTAGCTTTATTCGACACAATGGCGATATTTTGAATTTTCGTTCGGATTATTGTGATAGCTTATTGTCAGCGGCGTCTAAAAGAATTTAACAATTCTATATTCTCATTTCAACAGAAAATAGTGCAATAATATATCGTTTTGACCAAGCCAAGTGCTTAATAACGATATTGCAAAAGTTATAAATAAAAGTCGTACCTCATTAACTCAAAGTCGACTGGACTGTGCGGAAATTTCGAGTTATCCGAGTATTCGAGTGAAGTGAGTTCGAATATTAAGTGTGAAATTTGGAAAGGGCCGATGAAACACTTCGAATTAAATAGGGTCCACGAGCTATGTTAATTCGAGATGTCGAGGTTCGACTGAAGCTAAAATGTAATATCCAGGCGATTTAGTGCTCAAGATAATAAGTTCGAGGAAACTAATATAGAAAAAAACATTGTTTATCTCCTATAAGTACGGAATTCCTTTGGGGTCGCACATAAATATTTTCATGTTGTGTACATGGGGTCTTCATCTTATTGGCACGGAGCTGATTATCTCGTGCACACTTGTTTTTTTCTTCTTGGCACGAGGTAATTACTCCGGGCTCATAAGAAGATAAAAACTTTTGTCCACGATATGTGTGTCCCCAAAGGGGTTCCGTATAAATGCGCCGACGTAATATACGCTCATAATGATGCACCCGTTATGAAGAGCCATGTCAAATTCCAGAAACTGTTAATAAATATCGACCACGAAACACTGATCAAAGTACATCATGGGTGACACAGGAGTTAATCGACCATTTCACTAACAGACAAGTTCGAGAATAAGTAAAGACCCATCACACACAATTGCCATAATACTTGGCCTTACAGGTTTCATCAATACAACAATAGATCTCAAATGAGATTTCTAAATGTGTATGCATTGATTCAGTACTTCTACGTCCATTGATGTATTAGCGAGGACCGTCGATAATTATAAGCTCAAAAAGATCAAAATACTTCGCTCACAAAGAAAGGCTTTTAGTGGTCATATTCATTGCCGAACATTTCTGAAATAAAACGTCACGTGAACAAATATTATATATTTGTTAGACAAACATATTCCCGATAAAGACATACATGTTAATAAAACTAACAATGGCTACTTCCGTTATTTCTCTGTTTTTTACCGATCGGCAAATTGATTTATTGTTCCGCCTACATAGGGACGAAACTGTTGAAATATCAGGTATAACTGGCAGAGAGTATCATCCGTCCTAAAGCTGCAGGTGGTGTGACTTCCCATTGTACAATACATCAGTCGTAAAGTTGTTTATCCAGGTGTCTCGGTGCTACATAAGAATACGTTATGGGTGATTGGTGTCTTCTGCTCTTTGTCTTGGCGGGAACGTGTGTATCAAACATCCATAGTTCATCAGAAAAACAACTCCTAAATGACCTGTTTCTTACTTATGACAACAGAGCTCTACCTGTTCTCAACAGAAGTCATGCTGTTCACGTTAAACTGGCATTTTATCTCGACACCATTCGAGATCTTGACGAGAAAAACCAAGTGTTGACACTGAAAGGATACTTTATGCTTGCCTGGACTGACCAGTTCCTCGTATGGAACGCGACACAGTATGATAACATTGCATTAACCACGGTACGGTTAAAAGATATCTGGCTTCCTGATATCGGAATTTACAACAGCATAAACTCCTTCGAAACTATATTAGACAGTGAATCTAACATTGGAGTTCCTTCTAACGGTAACTTAGCTTTAGCGCCAGGTAAGGACTTTTCTATACTCTGTGAGGTTTCTGTTTGGAATTACCCATTTGATACTCAGGCGTGTGTGATGAGGGTGGGCCCTAAGTTCACGCATAATTCAATGCAAACAATCACACAATTGTCTGATAAAATGGATTTCTCATTCATGCGTGAAAACTCGGAATGGAAAATAATTTCTTCCGGAATCAAATGTTACGTGTTAAGAACCTCTCCAATGTGTGTGCTTAATGTGACGATTCAGAGAAGATCTGAACACTTTATACTACATTTGGTGACACCGGTCATACTGCTGTCAATCATGAACCCTATGACTTTCCTTATTCCCCCTTTGTCCGGCGAGCGTCTGTCATTTGGAATGGCGTTGTTCCTCAGTTTTTCATTCTTTATTAGCTCAATTTTGGATGATCTACCGGTGGCTCTCAACGAAACCTGCTATTTTACATTATTCGTACAATGCATATTTTGTCTTGGTGGTGTGCAGTGTTGTATAAGTTGTGTGATTACGCGGCTAAGTTTTAGGTCTTGTGATCACCAAGTCCCTCATTGGATACTTCGAGTACTTTGTATATCATGGGACGTGTCAAAACGGACTCAGGACAGAAAAAATGACGATGTAAAGCCGTGTGTGACAAATGACGTCAGAAATGACGTCATAGTTGAAGGTCGCATCAAAGCCTTTACCTGGACAGAGGTGATGCTGAAGCTAGACCTCGTGATGTTTATAGTGTTTAATGTCCTCACATTTGTTACCATCACAACGGTACTCATTATGATTGTACCATAGGATAATACCTGTTTAGACATGTAACTCAAGCACACCCATGAATATTTCTCTGTACTTAATTGCTCACTTTAGCAAAATATGAAATACTTTTCTAATTACACAAAGCATGGAAACCCACCTTTCAAACACAGAGGCATACCGTAAGGGATGTCTTGATCTCCAATCACCATGTTCAGTGGTACCTAATTTTATTCTTTCGTAAACAATTGCAGGGCTTTCTACTCCAGCTGCAAGAAGAGGTCATCTTAATATTCTTGTATTTTTTCAAAAGTAGAAATCAGTATGAAAGGTTCTTTCCCGTGCCATTATGTGCACTGAAATTATTTATGTTTAACAGTTTTTTTTAAAGATTGTACACAAGACATACAAGACATCAACATTAGATACTGTACACCGAAACAGTTAATTAAACTTATCACACAGCTGTTTCGTCCTTCCGGGACTCGTAGGCGATGCTAAGGGTCTAGCTTCTGAAGCCTAGGAGGCGACTGAGCATTCAGGTTACGGCAAATCTCCGACTGAAAACTACCAACACCTGCAATCTCGAAGATTGTACAAAAGACACACATATTATTACAAATTTTCAGTTTTTTTTGTTTATTCTTTTTATCGGACAGAACTGACACAGCATACAAAAAAGGTGTTATGATATCACTTGTCAACCTTAAATCATGAAACTATTGGGAACAAAATTTATGACTCGCCGCCATTTGTAATAATTTGTGTAACACTTGCTGCAAAATATCAATTGCATACAGGAACGACAACAAAATTGTTCAAAAAGACACATAAATGAACAGTACCTTTTAAAACAAATAAGGGTTTAGATATCACAGAGCCAAACAATGAATTAAACTGCATCATACAGCTGTTTCTTCCCTCTAGGACTCGTCAGTGATACTATGGGCCGAATTTAGGAAGAACATTTATATTATAAAATCTATATGGGGCAATGCACTAACACCATTCAATAAATTTAATAATTTTCATGTCTGATAAGAACGTCATGTACGCGTGTATATTCTAAACCATTCGAATCAAATCATTCGAGTGAAAAAAACCCGTGACATGTAGGTTATTTATTTATTGACGTATGTCGATAAATATAAAATGTGTTCATTATCTTTCATTTGTTACTCTTACGGAATTCATTATTCATTCTGTTGATTCGCTTTTTCTTTTTCTAAGATACAACAGATAAATAAAGATAAAATGGATTGAATGGCATAAATACTACAAAATACAAAAATAGTCTCTAAAACCGTGTGTTTGTTCCAAATTCCCGTATTCCATGTTAATACAGTGAATGACCAAGAGCAAAGCAAAACCAAATTCACTCATTTCTGAATTTAATAACCTTTGCTAGAATATTCTTGATGCTCGTTTTCCTAATTTCGGATCAAATTGTACAAAACATCCATACTTATCATATCTATTAAGTATTTCTTTGTTTTCCAGATCTTTGACCAGCGTTACTGCTGACAGACTACAGAGTTTTGGACATAGTTTATAATGAAAATAATTCTTCATTTACCTTCAAGTCTGTAAAGATTCTGTTGATTCACCTTAAGTCAAAGATAAAACAGAAGAATAAAATGGAAAAAAATAAATACTATAGAATACTAAATATTCCCTTAAATTGTATACTTATTCCAAATCCTGTATTCTATGCTAACAGAATGACTAATAGGAAAGCAAAATCACGTTAATTCATTTCTTAATTATTCAATCTCCGCTAAAGTATTATCGATATGTATTTATCAAATTTTATTGTACAAGAAACTTCCATATCTATTAATTTTCATATCTGTTATTTTTGTATTGTTTAAATAGATATTATTATATTTGATTTACTTAATATGTAGAAATTAAATTTGAATTTGATGTATATTCGTTATATATCTTGACACATTTGAACTTTGTATGACACAAGAAAGAAGGATACTACGGCGACGACTGAAGAAAGGGGTCTGACACAGTTCTGGCGTGTTTGTCGTATACAGTTAAAAGGAAATCTAATAGTTCTGTATCCTTGCTGGCAAAACTGAATAAGCAATATCATTGAGACGTTTGTTTCTGTTGAAAAAAAGCATTGTACTTTCAGCAATCGTTCTATTACTAACATCTCCTTGTTTTATAAATGTCTGATCAGCGTTTATGTTGACAGACTACAGAGCTTTAAACATGTTTATAATAAAAATAGTTCTTCATTCACGTTCAAGTCTGTAAACATTGAAATAGCTGATTAAGGTATTTATCGTTGAAACTTTGATGACGTCCAGGTACAGAGTATGAATAAAAAAGTAAGTACATCTTCTACAATCGGATGAAAGAACATTTGAATTTCGTAAGCAATGTAGATATTAAACAATACTAAACAGTCTATGAAACGTTCCTTTACACCTGGGAATTGAATATTAATTTCGAATATTGAAATTACGAACTTCATAGTCCATTTCATACAGACCTTTACATTTGTCCCAGAGATGTCAGAATTAGTATGGACATTTGTAATTCATTTTCACTCAGGAAAACAAAACAGATTACTCTTTATTTATCCCTAAACTTCTTCAGTTTATTCAAGTATAGTTACGGATATACATGTTGGACAGGTGTTGAGAACTATAAGAGACACTCATCTTCACTCTGGTTTGCCGAATGGCATTGGTCTGTGTACTGGAATATCTGACGAATGTGTGGTATGTATTTTCATGTGATAAAGAACTATTGAAGGAATAATAAGCATAAGGATGATGGTCGGATGACGTACTGGTAATGTATTGTCTTTCACCTGACGTACGGGTTTGATTCCCCGATCGAACGTGAACAAAGATGGAGGCCACCCGTCCGACCACGTGCGTTTTCCCAGGATACTCCAATTTCCTCCCGCACTTCCATCCGGGTCAAAAACAGCTTTTCATATAAGCTTAAAGATTGTTTTGCATATGTTGTGAAATAAATAAAATTTATATTTATGAGTATTATGGATATTTTAGTTTCTATTGTATCAAACACATTATAATGACATAAAACAGCAAATACAAATTTTATTTCAATTCCGCATCATAAATTTTACCTGAAAGCATTGAACGATAAAGAAAATAAATAAAATAAACTGGAACAGTAAATTAGCATATTGAAAGGTTAGTTAAAAGATCATGCTTTGAAAACATGACATTTTTTATTGTTGTTGTTGTCAAGATTGTAAGATATAAAGTTTTTATTAAGTTACAAAGTATTGGAGACCTATGATTTCGATAATTTCAAATCAGTTCAATGATGCCGTTACGGTATTATATAGTTTTCTCACAACAAAACAAAATGGTTATCCCCCTTCTTCTTAATACCAATCATTTATTCACAAGCAATTGAATCCTTGAAGACACAACAGCATTTTCTGTATATACTATAAACACCTATAGTTACCTCCAGCATCAGCAACAGGAACAGTTTACCTATAAAACGTGATAATCTTTATTAACTTATATCTCAAGCCCAGCGCGTCATCCCTCTTTTATTCAGGAATCTCCGTGTAAGTCTTTAGTTTGTTTTTATCTTTAAAAAGTTCCATTGATTTTAAGTTTGAATTTTCATTATTTTAGTCTATACGTCTGCTATCAACATACAGCGAGAATTTTTGATATTATGAATACATCATTGTCTATATATGGAAAATTCCTAACTTATACTCTAATTTCTTGTAATAGTGTTTTAACTTCCCTGTTTTATAAATCAGTGATTTTTGGAAGACGGACATTTTGAAATGGTATGTTTTACCAAATTTAGGCTATGGAAATAGATAAATATTTTATCAATATTTTAAACTTGACTTTTCCTCGCCACAGACAACTCAGAGCCCTGAAGTCGCCATGATTTGACTTGTCAAAAGCTAGAAATTCTGTGCGTTACGATTTATCAAGAGAAAACAAAATTGATCAGTTTAAACTTTCTGGAAGAGATTATTTTACCAACTGATATCAACCTGATATAGCTATATCTATATTAAGCACAAACAGCGATTGAAAACTGTTTTGACGATCTTTCGAAAACGTCTGTTTCCCTTGATCAAGCAAAAATTCCAATTACCGAGTCTCGACGAAAATGAACTATTCGGCGACAGGACGAAAGTGTAAAGTCAAAGCGCATTTTCGTCTCTATATCAATCTGGCTGTAAAAATGGATAATTTAGATGACGCAGCTGTTGTCCACTTCGTCTACTGTTTTCCTGCAGATAAACATCTCCTTATCGTGCCCATTGTTACGTGATTACAGAGTGTCTGCGTGTTAGAATCTTTGATGTTTGATCATTTGACAAATTCGTTTTTTCATTAAAAAACGAAAGGTTTAGTAATATCCCTTGAAAATATTCGAATGACATGATTGTGTCTGACGCTTCTGATAATAATCGGACCTTGTAGTTATGTCATATAAGATACACTACAGCACGTTCAGAATAACTGCCTTTCAAATCAGATCCTAAACCAAAGTTTTCTCGAATTTTAGCGATTTTAAAAATCTCTCAGCCCTAATAATTTCTGGAAAATTTGCAGCGGGGGAATTTCAAGTACCAATTCATCATTACACTATGAATAGAATCTGTTACGATAGACACAAGAGAAAGGTAGCTAATATCAAAAATAAATTTCTTTTATTCAAACCCCTAATTTTTCCAAGATTTGAAAAAAAAGATCTGTTGATAATGTTACTAGATAGTCCATTACCTCGGAGATTCCTCCCGTTAAGAGTCAGTCAAAACTGTGTGACGTATTTTTTATATTCAAAATAAGCAGACACTATATTTGAAATATAAAAATACTTTAGTTATCTTAAATTTAATCTTCAATATACAAGTTTCATTTACGCGTTTACCATAAATCAGAAATACGTAGGACTACAAATAAAGAAAAACAAAATCCGAAGATTGAAACTTATAACGAAACCTTATTCGGAAATGACTAACTCGAAAGAAAGTTATTGTCAGGAACGCCTAGAAAATATCCTTTGATAAACAAGATACGTGTATGAAATGAATTAGAAAGCATTGTTGCAAAACACTACAATAATGTATATCGGTATGCAACTAGAGAGACAAATACCACAATAAGATAAAAATAGATATAATATATTTCATAGAGTTGTAAGAAAATTGATATACCATAAAACAAAACATGGTTATTCTTTCAACGATTTATTAAAATTTCTGTTAAGAAAAAAGTAACATATTTCAAGTTGTCATAGTTTTCATATACAACACTGTACAACAAACATATCAATTTTACATTATTATAACTATTTTTATTCCTTATATACCAATGTACTATATACAAGTAAATCTATATTAACGGATTTATTCAAACATGAAACACTTTTAAAAAGTCTCTGTGAGATATGTAATAAGAATCAATGATTTTATAACAATGAAAAATAAAAAACAGATCATGTTTAACTTAGATCCTAAGGCCATCCAATCAAAATCTACGTTTTCACAAGGTCGTTCATCAGTCTTGATATTTTTGGCTATATCACCTTCATTATCTCCTTTAGATAATTCCTCTACGATGATGACCGGATCAGGGTAAATTTTTCTATTCTGTTTCTGTGTGAGGAAAAGGATTTTTTCAAGCTTCATCCACCAACTTTTTTCACTAACATGCTTTGTTCTTGCAGCAAGACGTAGAGTGATATTTGACACACATAGCTCCAGCCCTCCTATGCAGAATTGCACTATCAGATAAACTGTCAGAAGACATGTTTCAGTTGAGGTCACAGGAAGTGATTCCTTTACGGGTCCAATGAATACAGCAAAGGCTAGGAATATTGCTACCCCGAATGAAGTGTTCTCTCCTGAATTGATAGGAATCACGAATATAAAACAGTTCATGTATGACAAAAGTACAAGTGGTATAAGCGTGTGAACGATCTGATAAAATGGCCGCCTTTTTATCTCTATATTGAATGACACACGAGAGTTATACGACGGTGGAATCGTGCTCACTGATGTCGATGACCCAAGAAATTCCCATTCTGTGTTCAGCTCTTTAGAAACCACGGCTATATCATCCCTTACCGAACTAAATATTTGTTCGGTAGGTCCTCTGAGCCATGATATAAGACTTATGTCGCATTCCTGTTTGTCGAATGGATATTTTCGAACTGAGATTGGACATGATGTTGCCATTGATACATCCGGACACCAATTCACTGTTCCATCAGGAAGGATCTGAGCACCAGATATGCTTTTAACTATAGCATTTCTGTCATCATTAGAATTCAAGATAGTCACGGCGGGAAGCCAAATCATAGAGGGACTCACAATTATACTAGAGACTTGATATTCACTCTCATTCCATACTAAAAGTTCATTCTTCCAAGAAAAAGAAAACCATCCCCGTGTTAGTATCTCTTGACTTTCCTCTGTAACTTCAAACGACATCAGAAAGTAAGAGGCAGCAATGACAACGGGAGCATTGGGATCTGTCACGGGTCTGGCATGTTTGTTGTAACCGGGATCGTTAAAGAGATGGTTCAGCAGATCTGTTTCCGTGTTGGTAACACCAAACGCTAAGTCAAAAACCCACAACAGAACGAGCAATACCAACGACACGTTCATGTCTTCTGTGAATGGTATGGTACGTCAAGGACTCGTCCAACTGTTCTCAAAGCGTTAGAAGTGACACACTACTGTGGTTTGACTTTATATATATATACTTTTCATACCGGATCAATCGATACCTCTTTAACCTTTAATGCCTTGTATTATATGGATTGCTAATGTACCTATTAATTGTTTTATAGAAGTAACGCCCAGATGAATTGAAAGGTAAACGCGCGCCTGTCTATTGCTGTCTTTGCTGAATGACACGTGTTTACAAAACTATTACCTAAGGTTAAAATCTACAATGAGAACAATCGTCTTTATGTACAATAACGTTTAAAGTTTCGTTACCTAAGGTTAAAATCTACAATGAGAACAATCGTCTTTATGTACAATAGCGTTTAAAGTTTCGTAAGCAATGTAGATCAAATAAAATGCTTCCCATCTTATCATCTATCCCGAACACGGGTACTTGATAACAAATATTAGATAGTCACATACCTAATTGTCTTATTCAGAGCTCTGCATTTGCCACAGTTTATAAACACATTAATCTAATTGAAATGACTTGCAAACGTGTTTACTCTACAAACTTCAGCTGTTAAATTCCAGACAAGAAGCATGGAACTTTTATTACTAAAACTTGGAATTGCTGTTTACTTTAATATCTTACAGAAAAATAATGCTTTGTACAACGGAAACATAAATTAAAAGGACAAGTTAGCTATACAGATAAGATAGCAAAATTATTGTATAATCTATACTTGTACACGAGATAAGCTATAGGTACTGAATCTAATTATAATATGCAAATAAGCAAAGAAAATCTGTGAAAAGATAGGGAATTTATCCCAATTTTTTTCAATGAGGACATTACGCTCTTGATACGGATACGTTCACAAGAAGCCTATGTCCACAAATGATGTGATCATTCAATAACACTTTTAGAGTGCAGTCACATTCAAATATAATGACTATAAAGTTGTTATTTTCAAGCAGTTATGTCTTCTAAAATGACATCCTACGTCTGATTATTATGGGGTTTTATTGCTGGTATAGAAAACACTGTCAAAATGCCTGTTCAAATTGACGGTTGGGTTATACTGTCAATAATATATCATCTGTCTTATTACAAACGTGTTAAAACTTAATATATCATATTGTACTAGCAATATCAAAATAGAATGGTTTACTGAAAAGCACTGTTACTCATACAGACATAAGATTTCAAGAAATATATGTATATGTACATTCACAGTCACAGCGACAGGTTATTAAAATCAGAAATACATTGATCCATGCTGAACTCAACACTTCGAGAATATTTGTTACCATGAAAATCTGCGCACAGTTCAATAACACTTGCTTATTTGTCTCCTAACCGAGGTGAATGAAAAACTCTTTAATGTTATTAACTGGATATATCATCGTTTTCCCCGACGATAACAGTATCAGGTACATGTGTTACCATTTCTATCTAGGATTATAGATGATCGCTGAGCATATGCCACTTCCCAAAGTCACAGATTAAAATCAATCTAACGTTACAAAAGATGCTGGGTTATTTCTAAATGCCTAGAGGTACGAATATAAGACATCGTTGCTAGTAAATTGATGCCAAATCTCATCTTTCATAGTTTCAAAATGAAATTAATTTTTATTCATTATAAATGCCTGCACAATATTATCTGTAGGCTGTTGATTTCATCTTATTGTCAAGATATGATTATTAAAGTAATGTTATAAGCTACAAGGGAAATCTTTAGAAAGATAATGTAAGATAAATTCTAAGAAACAAAACGGTTTTTAAACACAGCAGTTGATGAATGGTTCAATTTGCGTGTTTCGAAAAATTTTCACTAAGAAAAACAAGCAACCAAAACACAACAAAAATCAAACCAAAAAAAACCCGAAAAATTGTAAAGCAAAAATTCAAGACCGAAAAAAGGCTATTTTCACCTCCAGAAAGCCGACATTCCTGTGATATAACCATTTTGCTAGTTGTTTTGTTTCCACCCCTGACCATTTTTACAGAAGCAGTAAATTACCAGGTATCACGAAAGCTGATCCCGCACAAAGTGTCTGTTTACAGTTCATATATAAAGAGTGTCAACAATGGAAACAGATAGTTTGACGTCTTTGTTTGGTCAATGGCTCGTAATACACAAGTACAAGTAGGTTTTGTGGAGATGTACAGAATGATAATTAATGTAATGGCCATCACAAAAGTACACTTAGAACCTATTGAATTTATTCATATAATCAATCGAATTTGCTCAAAACATTATTGGATTTTGTTATGAAAGAAATTGGATTTGGTTATAAAACGCCATATTATGTCTTACCATTAGTAACCAGGCAACCACAAGTTGCGACGTCTGTACCGTGCACGTGAGTTTTTGTTCTACCTCAGTGATGTAACAGAAGAGGACTCAAGATGGAACGATACACGAATACTCATATGACCTCGTTATGATATCTACGTGAAAAGTTGTTAGATGTATTTCGTGTGGACCATGAAATGTTTTGGAGTGCCAAAATGAAGAGGATTGGGAGATATTTAGTGATGAAAATTATGCTTATAATCACATTGCAAGAGTATTGAATCTAGTTTTCCACAATATATTGAAAAATCAATAAAAACTTATTAAGTAAATCATAATCGAATATTGGATGACGTTAATAGCTTAAAAATGTAATCAAAATGCCGACTTACGTTTTACTTATCCCTCACTCAAACAGACAGTCGGCAGTACATATTTTGATCTTGAACTGCCTGAGATTAATAGAATCCTTCACCCCCTTTTGGGTGAGACAGAGGGATCTCAACCCGAGGGGGGATTATTAAGTTGTCAAACACGAGGCTTGGAATTTAACATTAAAGTTTGCTTTTCTTTCTCCTCAAACACACATCTTCACACCAAGTTTTGTGTTAGCTCAAACAAAGCCTGGTGTTTTGAAAAACATATTTATGTAGCTGACATTAAGGTGTCTTTCTGAAAAAGAAGTATGTATGGCCGCCGAATGACCCAAATTATTACTCCTTCTTATCCATATATCAATGTTGCAAAGATGCAATTTAGAATAACATGAATTTTAATGTCCGCCAACGAGTAATACTATAGGGATCAAGCAAATCGCGTTTCTTTCTATATATACCATATTTCGCGGTACGATAACATGATCGCGAGAAATTTTATATGTGAATTAATGAGATACGTGTGTATAAGATGTAGATTTGAGTTGAGATCGCGAAATTTTAATTCAGTAAAATATAATTTACTTCTTGTTTAAAGGAAATCGCGAAAATCTTCACCGTTAAACATTATCAGCCATACGCTATTAAGCCTTTCAAACCAAATGACTGGCTTTGAAAATTGAAAGCAAATAATATCAAAATGTAACCAAAGACATGTTTTAAGTAAAACACGTTATTTCTTACATCATCTCTCTTTTCATCGTATGACTCATCAGTCTTTATGTGAACGCGTTGCATGCACGTGAAGATAACACATTTAAACAGTTACGTAAATAACCCTTTAATCGTCTGAAAAACATTGATTTTGTTATGAATACAATTCGATTCAGTTATAAAACGAAAATCTACTACTGACCATTAGTAGCCTGACAACCAGGAGTGTTGACATCAGTAGCGTCCACGTGAGTTTTTGTTATGATGTGCGGTGATTTAACAATGATGACCTTGACTGTATCGTACACATCGGATGTCCAGCATACCAACAATGGTTGTAGTTGTGTTTAATATTTTTAAACGACAGATATTAAGATGAAATAGGTTTTGTTTCGTGCATTAATTTGTTTTATTGTGTTTAAATTCAAAACTTGACGAAATGTCGTAAGAAACATTGCTTTCAAATTTTATAAAATAAAAACAGATGTCTAACACCTCCACTTGCAGTCTGGCAACGAATAGTTGACATCAGCGCTGCGCACGCGAGTTTTAGGTTCTTTACTTTACAAAGGAAAACTAGATGGAAACAACCTGTTTTCTGGCTCGGATATTTACAGGATCAGATTTGGTATAAAATATAGTTACTAATATATTTTTGAAAAAAAAAATCTATGATAAACGTTCATTGAAAAACCTCCAAAAAATTGATGTTTTCTCATTGTATTTTTACAATGATATTTATTTATCTAATATTTTATAGAGACACAAGAGAATAATTTCTTTCAATATGCAATTAGAGCAAAGCTCAATTCAGATAGTATAGAACTCGTCAGTGATGATGAGGGCCTAAATTTTGAAATCTAAGACGCGACAAAATTGATCGGGAAAAATATCAAAATTTAGATTGAGAGATACACTGGCTTTATAATTGAATGAAAGCTTTAACATTTACCAATCATTACCAAAACATGTTGTAAATATATACGTTAAGATTTCCGCATGTTTTGCATTATTTCTAGATGACGGTAAACAATCTTTATCTTAATATCAACATTTGCGATTAATCTTGAACATACGGTTTTGCCATTACTTATAATGTCACAAAATTTTATATAACCATGGTTTAAATTTGAACATCTATATGTATGTTACATGATACATATATATGCAAAAAGTAAATAAAACATCAATTGAAAAATTTGTTCTTGGAAGTATTTTGTTGTTGTTCGTGTTTTCAATGACTGCAGCTACTGATTACATAATACTATTGTGGTTGTCAAATTTAAATGTAATG